ACATTATCTTGTGAGGGGCTTGTTAATATATATAGCTATCGATAGAGGTTTTAAACCGTGTATTATAGATAGGATTTATATATATATATATAAACTAATAAACTACACATTTCAGAATTCACCAAACTACAGATAATAACTAAGGATAATAAAAAAAGAATATGTTTGCCATATGTTCCGTCACTTTCAACAAAGTAAGCAACGTGTTCATGAATAATACAGGTTGTCTATTAGCCTTTACTCCTAAATTAAAACTAATGAATATTATTTATGGTGTTAAAGGATAAATGTAGGGTATATAAAATCTCTTACAGTTGTAGCTTGAATTATATCGTACAAACAAGCAGCAATTTGAAGTTTCGAATTAATAAATACATAAATGCCGTCGAAAAATTGAAAACTAGTGATTCGTCCTTGGCGGAACATGTGGCAAACTCATCGCATAATACTGAATGGGATAAAGTTCAAATACTTAAATAAGTTAAGATAAAAATGAATTAAACATAAATGAATCTCTTGAAATTATTGAATATAAAATTATTTTGAATAGAGATCTAGGCCCTGGTGCCAGAGAAGTAAATATTTGGAAATCTATTCTGTAAATGGCATTGTACAATATGCAAATTATACACGTACACTTGCTGGTATAAATAATGATATTTCCTGTGTTTCTTCCGGTCTCTTGAAGATGGTGGAACGTTTTCCGCCGAAACATGATGAGTTTTTAATTATATATTTTACTTTTAAGAATGACAAGTCCAGTCCACCTAGCGATAATGAATTCGTTTATTTATTCAATAACGTGTGCTACAGGCTACGTTCACTGGTAGGCCCAACTTCATAAACAACGTTTCAACAGAAATTCCGAAACTAATGTATGCTTCACTTATAAAAATAACATACTTGCAGGACTTCCTCTCTAATCAATTAGTAACAAACTGGTTGATTCACTGTTAGCTTACCAACTGAATCACTGGTTAATTCACTAACTAACTCTTAACTTATGCACTGTATACTTTATTGAATCATATGCTAACTCATACAGTCATTTTTACATTATTACTCGTTTTCTACTTATTACACGAAACTTCTAATTGCTTAACTTTCATACAATTACTAGTTGACGTCATGGCATGCAAGAAACGTTTCAATTAGAATAATAAAATATTGCTTATAAAACAATGATAAATTATGTTTACAGTATATCAAGCCTGCTTTCCCACTTAGAACGCTGTTGTAAACTGCTTTTAGTTATCTATAATAGTTAATATTATTAGTAAATATATGTAGTATTATGAATTATGCCCCCTCCCCCAGTGGCACAGCGGCATGTCCGCAGATTTACAACGCTAGAAATCGGATTTCGACACCCGTAGTTTGTTTGTAATTAAGCATAAAGCTACACAATAGGCTTTCTGGGCTCTGCCCACCACGGGTATCAAAACCCGGATTCTAGCGTTGTACGTCCGCAGACATACCGCCGTGCTACTGGGGGCGACACCCGTAGTGGGCAGAACACAGATAGCCCATTCTGTAGCTTTGTGCTTAACTTGAAACAAACAAACAATTAAGAATTATATTATTTTTTTATATTTGAAAACTACTTATTCTTACGTTTATAACTTTCGAAACAAACCAAATTGAATATCTTGATGTAAAAGTTATGCTGTAACACATTTCAACATTCTACATTGTTAAATAGAAAGCTTTGTCTTCATAAACTTAATTGTAAAAGATAGGGTAAACCAAGTATAAAAAATTTTCATCAGCTGTGGAGTAGCTGGGTTCTTTATGTACAATAGTATTTGCGCTTTTTTTTTTTCATTTCTATATTTCTACTGTCAGTACTCAAATTCCATAACGAGGTTGTTCATTGTATATATCTATACTGCCCATACTAGTAATGTGTACAAAGGATTATTTCATTAATAATAACAATATCCAGTAACATGACAAGTAAATTAAAATAAAAGTGCATATAATGTTAAATTCAGAGGAACAAAATACATTAACCTGTACAAACTGCATACAAATAAAACCACACTTAGGCAAAACGCCTAAGCTGGAGAAGCAGCGAGACCTTTTTTAGCTTTCTATACATTTTATGTTCAGAAGTGTTAAGATTAGATTTAAAGCATTGTAGAATTCCTTTCCCTACTAGTTGAGTTGTGCAGAACAACTTAGTATAAAATCATCTTTTATGAAGTTTTTAATTTGGATGATTAAGTTATAAAGTTCAAAAGAGAACCTCGTCACGAACAAGAATAGTAAGAGAAAAAGTAGATATTGAAATATTACACGTTATCTACGTTGTCTCATATTTCTTCTTTATTGTCTCCTGATCATTTAATAGCTGTACAAAATATATTGTAACGAAAATTATAAATGACAAACCAAGGTTTGATGTATTGATTTCTATGTCTGATGACTGTGATCCAATATATATATAAAACTAATGTTATTTATTTCTCGTTAATTAAATTTATTGTACATTTCAATTTTGATTACATTAAAGCTGTTTATGTTAGATTATTTTCAGCCAAATATATACATGTGTATCTTCAGTGGCCTTGCATTAAGCCATAACCTGCGAATTTCAGTATGTTTTTAAAATCATATAACTAAAGACATTTCTACTCATAGTCAGTATTTCAACGTTTCATTTCCTGTAGATAAAACTTATCCAGATATGATTCCAGAACCAGACTACAGTGATTCAGAGGAAGACAAAGATCGAAAGATTCGCCAGCCCCGGTCTAGATCTCGATCAACTGGTGGAATTCAATACAATAACGAAGGTTTGATTCTGCCAAAGAAACCTGCTAATCCATGTCTAGAATCATCTGAGAGACAAAGCCTGCATAGGGAACTGCTTTTCAACCAGAGAATGTAGGCATTCCGTTTCTTTTTCTGTTTGTTACTATTATAGTTTTTTTTCTTTTTTTACCTAAAGGTTATAGAAAATATATACAAAAAATTTGCAAGAGTAATTAAACTTAAATACGATTTGCACTCATTACTTGGAAATGTTGATTTATAATAGTTAAAAAAAATACAACTAAAAATACTAAGGCATTACTCCACAAAAGAATAGGAACAATGCTTCGAGTAATTAGGATACAGGTTCGATTACGTACATTCGAACGCATCACCTAGCAACAAACCCTCGAGTATCTCAACCATAAGTCTGAGGATATATAATGCTAAAACTCGGATTTCGATACCCACGGTAGGCTGAGCACAGGTAAGATAGCACATTTTGTAATGATCAACAATAAACCAAACCAGACAACAAGGATCAGCAATGGAGTGACACCTAGCGGAGTTTGAAATTAATATTAAAACGAAAAATGCTGTAGATTTCAACAATTTGCTCTCTTTACAAGATATGAGAAAAAAATCGTCCAAAATAAATACCCACATAAAAACAGTTGCATAAATGCAACCAAACAGTATATATATATATATATATACACAAACATATATATATAAATTTAACATATATAAAATTACAATTGGTGTGAAATCGAAAAGGTCCACCTTTCAGTGAAACCTGGAAACTGAATTAATGTTACTAACAAAAGTATTAAGTTTCAATTTTTAAATTAAGTCCAATCAAGTTTTTGTTCTATTCAATTAAACAGTGCCTAGTAATGTTCAATGGAGCAATACTATTGTTCTGATTGATGCCAAAGGAAGAATAAAGTTTTTGAACTCTGAGTTCTGTCAATGGCACCTCTGATTGACCTTTTCTTCTACCAAATTCTTTCTTGGAGTAATGTTCTAAAATTTTTAATGTTATAAAAATATTTAACTTATTAGACAACATCAAACCCACTCTGATAGATTATTTATAGAATATGATTTTGCTGAAAGCTTGGATAAAGCAGGTAAGCTTAAATGTGTGTGTGTGTGTGTATATATATGTATATATTATTATATATATATATATATATATAAATTTCAATACGAAAACAGATAAAAACTAAACCTTAAAATTGTTATAAGTAACTCATATTTAGTATTTTTATCTTACCAAAATTAATATCATAGGTCTTCATGAATTGTTTAACATGTACTATCTTCAGTGAGAAACTCAAACTCATAGCCAAGAAATTCAACATAGAAGTCTGGTGGAAATCCTACAAGACATTAAGGTCCATTCTGGTAAAAAAACAAACAGCAACTTACCAATGAAAAACACAAAAACGTCATTTATGAAATTCTATGTTCCTGCAACAAAACATACATTGGAGAAACGAGAAGAAGACTAGAGACAAGAACATAAAGACAGTACAAGACTCATGAAAACACAAAATTCAGCCATTGCAGAACACGCCAAGTCAACTGGACACAAAATATACTGGGATAAAACTAGAATCATCGACACAGACAAATTTTGGAAAACTAGAAAAATTAAAGAATCTATTTATATTAACAGAATTAAACCTTCACTAAACAGAGATTCTGGATTAGAGGTGAGTAACCTGTGGCTATCATTGGTTGAATGTACAGGAAATATCTCCTCCAATCAGAAACAGGTATAAACAAACCACTCATAACATGCTCTCCACAATCCACAAGAATATTATAAATACCGACAACATCTTACACACACACTGATCTGAAGACGAAAAGCGGAAGACTTTTGAAACATTGTCCTCTACACTTGTGTCTCTACAACAGGCAGTTGCTGTCCATTCTACAAAGTTTCATCATGAATACTCTGCCTAAACAATCTATCAAAGACTAGTCAAATGATATATAAATGAATATTTCATTAGCTTCTGAAAATGAATTCTGAGGTTACCACCATTTTTATAATCATCAAAATATAAGATACTACAGACTATATTCAAACATTAAAAGAATAAATATTTAATATACTTTTGAAAATTATATCCAAATGAAATTCCAAAAATCTGTATATCATTAGTTATATGCATGTTTCAGGTATCTTGTTGTAAGAATACAAAATTGTTGTAATGCATTTGCACATACTACCAGCCTTAGAAGGGTTTACCCAGTTTATTTTTGTTTAGTTATGATCACTTGCTGATTTGTTGATTTTTTTTCACTTTTGGCCATTCTTTCTGTATGATTTTGTGACATTATGGTCACTTGATAATGAGCAGAAGTTTTTGAAGGAAGTACAGGCTGTCAGAGCTGTTCAAATGTTGAAAATCATACAAACAAAAACAGGTAAGAGGTTATTTTCGCGTTTTTGAACATACTATTATACAACTGGTTTGTAGAGTAGACACTGTGAAGAATCATTTAATTCATACATTGCTGCACTTTGTAGAACATGGCCTTTGGAGTCACAGTTTACTGCCTATGCATTCAGTATATACTTCAGGATAGAAATAGGAAGAAACATATTTTACAAATCCAGCTTAATTTAAAAAAAGACCTGCTTCACAGTCAACTACACTTCACACCTTGTTTGTACTTCTACCAAGATCATCAACATTGGTAGCAATGCCACTTAGTGCTTGCTCTCTTCTTCACTAACTCATGTTTTATGTGTGTAGAGAGCAATTTTCTCAGTATTACGTTACTGAATATGGTCCTTTCTGTATCAAATCAAATGGTTTTTACAGATATTATTGTGATTGTGAGAACCAGATTTGCTTCTCAATGATATATTGAAGTCTTATTGGATCCACTTGTATGTCCTTTTGCAGGTGCATTTGGTCCAAACTTTGTGTTTGATACAGGATAATGCTTGACCTCACTGTTTCATTATCATGACTGTCTATAAGTATAACAAGGAAACATAGGTCATGTTTGGTCAGCAGGAAGTTCTAGTCTAATTCCCACAGAATACTTCTGGGACCTCTTTGAATGCCATGTACACCAACACTAACCCACAATGTGATATTAGGGGGCTAAACATTGCACTAATTAATGAATAAGGCAGTATGCCTATCTCATCATCTGCAAACTGATTTGAAGTATGTCCCACATAATAGAGATGTTTCAATGCTGGGGAGGGTGTACACCCATTATGATCACCTTTCTTTGCCAAATATGCTTTTTCAGACATATTTATTCCTAATTCTGATCACCTTGAAACTGATGATACACAGGTTGTATAGGGTATTTAACCAGTAACATTATTGTCATTGAAATTGATGCATTAATTGTAATCAGCGAGTAAATGTTTCTAAAATGGAAAAAGCTCTGCTCTTCATTTTCTTGAAGAGTAATTTAACTATAAAATATTTATCTTTAAAATTTTTCAGTAGTTTAGTTCAGTAACTTCTGGGATTGGACATCGTTAAGTAATCCATAAAACAGTTTGGACTATAGCAGTTCAAACAATTCGTCTATTCATAAATGAAACTATTTGTCTTCTTTAAGATAATGTAACATCCTATATAAGCACCATAATATTTGTAAAAAGAGTACAGTAAAGTGCATCATTAATGTTCAAAAGCATAATGAACTCAATAACTTATTATTCTTATGAATATAAATGGCATGTAATGAGCTAAACAACCAAATACATACCATTAGTTTTTAACCATGTCCCATTTTTGATTAAATTAATATATCATATTTTTTGTTAATGGGATTTACCTACAGAGGAAGAAGTGTTCTAAATCAGAAAACAGAACTTCAGAAGGCTCTAGAAAAATTCAAAGATGAGCAGAAAAAAAGGGAGATAGAAGAAGAAAAACACACTAAGTGCACAGCCTTAGAAAAGAAGTTGGAACAGCAGGCCATTAAAATCAAACAAGTAAGATTATAAATTGTGTTATAAACCATAAAATCTGAATATAACCAAATAATACAAGTATATTCATATAACAATAACAAATTAATAAAATAATCAATATCTAAATACTTATTTACAAAGGAGAGGAATTGGTAAAAACAAAACTAAAATCTGAACCAAACAAATGTATAAAAAGTACTGAAAAACTTTGTAGAATACAACTGAATCATTGCTTCCAACCAAAATATCAAATATATAAACAATTTTGCATTCTATCTATTAAACCTAACAGACCTTACCAATTGTTTTGTGATAGTATGGGTTTATGGGGAACAAAAATTGAACTAAAGGGCTTATTTTACACGACAAAATGAAAGAAATAAAACAGAATCTAATCATAGATCTTGCACATTAATGTTTTATTATTCTTATTCAGTAAACTTGGGTTGAAATTCATTGGTCATAGTAAATGTTTTCAAGGCTCATGATGTAAGACGAAATACATTTATTGCTAAATCATGCTGTTTTTGCACATGAATGTAATAAAGGTGTTTCATAATTTTAAATATTTTTGAATGTAAATATTTATTTATTTTCAACATTTTATTACCTGTTGTAATGAGTATATTTTGAAGTGACACATAATACATTCATATCCTTATGCGACATATTTTTATATTGCAGTTGTTTAATTATCACCTATAACACTTTTTAAAAGCTAGCAGGCAGATATTTATCAAAAGAAGATTATCATTGAACTTTTTTGGAACACTTAACTCAGGTATCAATTATTTAACAAAATCATCCACCTCTGGCAAGTGAAGCAAGGCAGAGCTGAGTATAAAAATTGAATAACAGGCATTCTTCACATATGCACTATACATATTAAGCCATACTTGTATGGGGACTATCCAATATCAAGGAAAACTTTCTGTCTGTCTATTGATGCATCTCATCTTAAAGCAGTTGACCTATTCAGACCAAATTTGGCATGCTAACTTAGTAGTCCAAAAGCAAACCAAATTCATATTAAACTTTCCCATACATTTAAAAATAAAAATATCCCATATATCGTTACTGCATTAGCTATTGTAAATAGCTGAAATTGAATAAAACTTCACACCACAAGCAAATTCTACAAGTCAAAGATGATAAATAAAATGTTCAGCATTTAGGCTTGTTTCCTGTAATAACCAAAATCTACAGTACTAAATTATCCAGCTACAATGTATAGAATAAAGATATTGCTGCTGTTTAAGTTTTCTACTCTTTTCTGATTCACACCATTTAACTTCTGGTTTATACTAGGGTTAAAATAAATGCTTAAGCCTGAATTAGAGAAGTATTTCATAATTAAAATATTTCTAGGATATATCTAACTTCTTAATGTAATATATATAGTTTTCCTTAGAAGCAAAATTCAAGATTATTATTAAATTTAATGAATTAAATGTACTAAATTCAGCCAGTAGAAATTTGGAACACATCTCTACGTGAAATGGGCTGCTTTGAAAAAATAACAAAATGACAATTGATTTGTCATTTCTGTCAAGTTTCTCGACTCAACTGGTACAGCTCCTCACTTCCAACAACTTCTTGGAGAATGAATGCTACTGAAAATCCTCATAGAGATTTTGCTCATTTTTAGCCAATTTTTGTGTGTTTTCCACCTTTTCAAAAAAAAACAGAAAGGAGAAAGAGTGCTCTCTCCCTAAAATAACCTGCAAAACCTTTAATGTAAGAGCTTCAAATAGAAAGCCTATTATAGACTGAGAGTTCTCTTTTGCTGTTAAACTTTCACCAGGTCTGTCAGGCTTTCAGAAATCAAGGTCAGAGCTGGGTATGCAATTTTGCTGCTCAAAATATTAGTCAAATTGCACATTTACTTAATTATCAATTATAATCTATCCAGCAAAATTCTTGAGAACTTTCAGCTTGAAAGCTCAATCTGCTTTATCTAATAAACATTTCTCACTGAGAGAAATGGGGATTTTGTATTTTCTGTTTCAAAAGTACAAACACTAATAAAATATATTTTGATATTATTGGATGGGAATAACCTTAACAGTGTTATGAAAGAAAGGGATCATGGTGAAGTGGTTGATCACTCTCTTATACCATCCAAGCAGTGTGCTGTTGCTAGTGGTATGGCAAATAGGATTTTAGGTTGTACCTACAGAAATATTCAATACAAGTTTAAAGAGGTTATAATTTCATTGTACAGGTCACTTGTTAGGCCACGTTTGGAGTATTGTGTTCAGTCTTGGGTTCCTTACCATAGGAAGGACATTTAATTGTTGGAAAGGGTTCAGAGAAGGGTTACTAGAATGGTGCCTATGATGGAGGGGTTGAAATCTCTTGTTTTTTCTTGAAAAAAAGAAGAGTTGGAGGGGATCTGACTGAGGTGTTTAAGATTGTTAAAGGAATTGATAGTGCTGATGTATTGTCTTAATGGTGAAAATGGTAGAACTAGGGTCACAAATATAAATTGTGGCAGGGTAAGAGTCATCTTCAGCTAGACAGTTTTATTTTTCAAATAGGGTGGTTGGCCTTTTGACTTCAGATGTTGTAGAAACAGTACATTTAAGTGAGTTTAAGATAAAGCTTGATAACTATATGAATGATAAGGGTTGGCTTTGAGGTTTTATTTGTTACTTATATTTTCTATTCTTATTGTTTTTTGTTTAATTTTAATAGTTATAGTTTATGTTAGAGAATGGGACAGCCTAGATGGACCAATAGGTCCTTTGTTATCCCTAGACATTATATTATGTTATATCCTTGGTTTTCAAAACTTTCCTCTAGAATCTGTAAGAAGTTCAGTGTTTTTGATTGTTCTTTATTTGTTGCTTCTCTAAGCAATCTTGCCTAATTATGTTTCACACTAAAATATTGTTATTATTTTCTTACCTCAAATTATAATCTTAATTGTTAAGAAAACAGTATGTTTTTAATTTATCAAAAGCTTTATTTTCATGTTTTTTCATTCATGAAAAGGTTAGATAAAATAAAAAATCAGGTACAGGGCTGTCAGAAGTGGGGAAGCAGTTGCACTCTCTTTTCCCAGTTATAGTCCCATTGGTATTAAACTGTTTATGAATATATGTGCAAAAACATCTAACTCTTTTTTTAATAAAAATTATTCCATCAACAACAAAAATTTGGTTTAGTAGAAACTACATAATATGATTGATGAATAAGCTCCCTCCATGGTAAAATTTGATGTAAAAAAATAAACTAAAATATATTAACAAAAGTCAGAGCCGGCAACTATAATGATAGTCGACAGCCTGTATGTATGTATATTAGTATATGTATTATATTCTGACTATCATCAGAAGGGTCCCTATACAATTGAATGGCAGAATCCAAACAATCGCATTTGAATTAGAAAAGTCATAGTAAATGTTTTATAAGCATAAAAATGTATGATACTAGTGCCATAGCCACAATGGGGCACCTGAGGTGTGTGCCTAGTTATTTTTTGGAAAGGGGCCCCTGTGTGTCCCATGATATTAAATCTATAAAGGGGCCATTGGTAATAAATAGACAAGAAGACCCCCCCCCCCCTGATAGTAAATGGAGAAGAAGAGCCTCTTACAGATATAAAATTTTAAATAATTTTAGTGTGATTACGTACTTGCTTAATCTTTGTATATTCCCATGAAATCAATATAATTTACTGATTTCTGTGTCGCTACAGTATAAGCATTGTTTACAAATCATAGCTATTAATGAAATTACATTAATTTTTCTGGCCACATGAATGTTGATTTACTATCCATTACTCATTTTGCAGCAATTAATTATTTGTGAGTGTCAGTTGGTATGATAGTTAATTAATCGTTTTGCCCTGACCCATTGCATCATGACACTTTAGAAAAGTATTCTGGTGACCTACGTTATGAATACCAATATGATCTGATTTCTTTGAATACCATTTTCACCTTCTATGTTTGTTTTTTTATTAACTTTAATGTGCATCATTTTCATATCTATATTAAAATTATGGGCTCCAGGTTTAGAGTAAATAATAGGCCCCCCTGAGAAAGTCACATCCTCCTTTTCAGAATTCTTTGTATGGGCCAGAGGTAAGACATAGCTAATATCTTTAGAAAAGATTTCCCAGGCATTGTTATGATTACTTTTTCATTAGTTTCTGTATGTCAGTTTCTAATTTTCTTTCTTTAAATAATTTTGGAAAGTTCTCAAAATTCTTTTTCCCTTGTATTGAGGTTGATACTGTTACTAAACCTGAGTCATTATACAAAATGTAATATCTTTATTTGAACTTACAAACAAATATCTATTCACTATTACATATTCTACAAGTTAAGCCTCAGAATTAAAGACAATGTCTATAAAACATTTCTTTCTTCAATTTCAATTACAAATCAATACTCGGTTCTTGAAAAATTCTTCAGTCTCACGTGAAGGACATAAAGTTTCTCCTTTACTTTTATTGTCTTTTATATCAAAGGTTTTAAACATAATCTACTAATATCAACTGCCAAAATATATCCATCTATCGGATAAGAATTTTATACAATAGTAGAATAAAGAATTACAAATAAACGTTTTTAACCTTCGTTATCATGAACTTTTATCTAAACAGTATAAACTACTACCAGCGACCAGAATGAAAAGAATTCAGGCCATTATTGAGAAACTGAACTAAACTAATTTTGTCATCATTATAAAACACTGTAAAGTTATTCATTCAAATTTTAGACACACTTCTATAATACCATGCAATTATACAACATGTACTTGAATGTTGTGAGAGCCTTCAATTAAAAATCTTGGTTTAGCATGTTCCTTATAGAACGAAAAAAAAGGTGATTGCATGTTAAGCACCAGGTTGGCTCACAAAGGGTGTAAAGTTTAAAATTACAGAAAAGCATTATAAATTTTAACAGGCCCCTCATGAGCTAGTGGGGAACATTTTTGTTGAAAAAAAACTACCCAATCTGGTTTTTCTTAATTTGAACTAAAATTTTTTGGACATTTTTATTGGCTAA